ACGACGAGGGTGGCGTTCAGGCTGGCCCAGGACTCCTTCACGGTGGCGTGAGTGATCTACAGGTGGTTGAGGAAGGTTCCGTGTGCATGAGACTGCAAAGTAGGGACTGTTTGCAACGTTGTACAACGTTGTAGAGTAGCCGGGACAGCGTGGCCATGCTGCAGGACAGCTGGGGGCGGGCTGTGGCCCAGGGCTGCTGCTGGAGGACCACTTCATCCGAAGAAAGAGACCCCCCCCCTTCTGTTGTCTGCACAGCCACATCCGCACCACTTCTGCTCTCCAACCAACCCCAGCCCCCTACAAATCATGTCCATTCCTTTAGACTCCCAGGCAACCTCTCACCCCCTCTGCACTTTAGGCAGGGCTAAGCTGTCTGTGAGTCTGGAGTCCCCTGGCCAGGCCGCCGCCTGCCGCCTGAGCAACTGGTAGGAGCTGCCTCAGCTTTCCCGTTGGGCTTTCAACGGCTGCCAGGGGCGTTCCCAGCCGGTAGAAGGAGTTTACTCTCCTCCCACCCGCTCAGTCCTGCGGGGATCTGAGTCCAAGGAGGCCCCTGGTACCGCCCACCTGCATCCCTGCCTGGATTCCTTAAGGAATAGGCTAGAGCCAGGGAGGAGTTTCCAAGAGGCTCACAGCAGAGGAGAAGGTCGTGTATGATGGATGGGGTTGAGGTGGGGTGGCGATCCAGAGGGTTCTGAGTATCCATGCTGGGTGTATAAACTCCCACCGCCCACTCATACTATTGAGTACCAGCCCCCGCACACACCCTCCGATTGTGCAACAGCTGGGGGGGGGTGTAATGTCACACGAGAGCGCTACAGGTGTGCAGTGCCAAGGACACAAGTCTACACACACCAGTGACTCTCACAAGCTCACACTCTTCACGGCCTGCGGTTTCACCCCTCCAGTGTCACCCCTCCACTCCGCTCCTGGCCCCAGCCCCTGCCCCGAGCCCGGACGGAGGAGGGTCTATTTCTCGGAGACCGGATGGGGGATTCCCGGGACCCAGAGCTTTAGCTCCCCTCCCTGCAGTGGGAGGGGCAGCGGGACCCCAGGCGCCTAGGGTTGGGCTTCGGAAAGGTCGTCTGCCCTGGATTTGGGCCAGGGACCCTAGCAGGGCCCAGGAAGTAGGGTCCTCTCCGCTCTCCGGAAGCCCTCGGGAAAACCAGTCTGCTAATGGGATGAGAAGTGCAGGAGGCCAGGGCCCCGCCTGC